CTGGGCTGATTTTGGCTGATTTTGGCTGATTTGGGGCTGATTCCGGGTGATTCTGGGCTGATTTTGGCTGATTTTGGCTGATTTGGGGCTGATTCTGGGTGATTCTGGGCTGATTCTGGGCTGATTTTAGCTGATTTCAGCTGATTTCAGCTGATTTTGGCTGATTTGGGCTGATTTGGGCTGATTTGGGCTGATTTGGGGCTGATTCCGGGTGATTCTGGGCTGATTCTGGGCTGATTTTAGCTGATTTCAGCTGATTTTAGCTGATTTGGGCTGATTTGGGCTGATTCCGGGTGATTCTCTCTGACTGGGGCCAATCCCGCGGGCCTGGGCGCAGAGGCGGTGCCCAGCCCGCGCACCCGCAGCCAGCTGCTGGCCAGCACCCTGCACTGGTGCAACCTGACGCTGCAGTGCCAGGGCAGCGGGCACGGCGCCGTCAACGTCAGCTGGGCCTGGGCCGAGCCGGGCCCCGCGTGGCACCGGCTGTCCCCCGACGGCACCACGCTGCGCGTGGCGCTGCCGCCCGCCGCCACCAACGTCACCTACGCCTGCACCGTCAGCAACCCCGCCGACAGCAAGGTCGCCCTGTTCCACCTGCACAGCCTCTGCCAGGGCGCCGGTGAGCCGGGCACGGCTGCGGGCACGGGTGACACAGGACACGGGTGACACGGGACACGGCTGGGGACACGGCTGGGGACACGGCTGGGGACACGGGTGACGGGGGACATGGGTGACATGGGGACATGGCTGGGGGCACGGCTGGGGGCACGGGTGCGGGCACGGGTGACAGGGGACATGGGTGGGGACACGGGTGATGTGGGACATGGGTGACATGGGGACACGGCTGGGGACACAGCTGGGGACACAGGGCTGGGGACATGGTTGGGGACATGGGTGACGGGGGACATGGGTGACATGGGGACACGGCTGCGGGCACGGGTGACGGGGGACACGGGTGACGGGGGACATGGGTGACATGGGGACATGGCTGGGGGCACGGCTGGGGGCACGGGTGCGGGCACGGGTGACAGGGGACACGGGTGGGGGCACGGGTGATGTGGGACATGGGTGACATGGGACATGGCTGGGGGCACGGGTGGAGACAGGGTGGGGACACGGGTGGGGACACGGGTGGGGACACAGCTGGGGACACGGGTGACGTGGGACACGGGTGATATGGGACACAGCTGGGGACACGGGTGGGGGCACAGGTGACGTGGGACATGGGTGACATGGGGACATGGCTGAGGACACAGGTGACATGGGACACGGGTGACATGGGACACGGCTGGGAGCACGGGTGGGGACACGGCTGGGGACACGGGTGACGTGGGACACGGGTGATGTGGGGACACTGCTGAGGGTGGCACAGGTGACACGGGGACATGGCTGAGGTGACACAGCCAGCGGGACAGGGCTGGGTGGCACTGCTGGGGTGGCACAGGTGGGTGGCACGGCCGGGAGTCACGGCTGGGTGGCCCAGGTGGGTGGCACACGTGGGTGTCACAGGTGGGTGTCACAGGTGGATAGCACAGGTGGGTGTCACAGGTGGGTGTAGGTGGGTGTCACAGGTGGGTGTCACAGGTGGGTGGCACTGCCAGGGGGACAGGGCTGGGTGTCACAGGTGGGTGGCACAGGTGGGTGTCACAGGTGGGTGTCACAGGTGGGTGTCACAGGTGGATAGCACAGGTGGGTGTCACAGGTGGGTGGCACAGGTGGGTGTCACAGGTGGGTGTCACAGGTGGGTGTCACAGGTGGGTGTCATGGCCGGGTGTCACGGCCGGGTGGCACAGGTGAGTGGCCCAGGTGGGTGTCACAGGTGGGTGGCACAGGTGGGTGTCACAGGTGGGTGTCACGGCCGGGTGGCACTGCGGGTGGCACTGCGGGTGGCACAGGTGGGTGTCACAGGTGGGTGTCACGGCCGGGTGGCACTGCGGGTGGCACGGCCGGGTGGCACTGCGGGTGGCACTGCGGGTGGCACTGCGGGTGGCACGGCCGCGAGTCAGGCGCGTCCCTGGCGGGCAGGGGGGCACTCGGCTTTCTCCACCTCGGGCTACGTGGTGCTGGCGCTGGTCCTGGTGGCCGTGAGCCTGGGCGGCGCCTTCTGGTGCTGGAGGGTCAACAGCGAGAAGGCGGCACGGGCAGGTGGGCACGGGCACGGGGGTGGGCACGGGCACGGGCAGGTGGGCACGGGCACGGGGGTGGGCACGGAAATGGGGGAACCAGGGCAGGGGGACACGGAAACGGGGGGTGGGCACGGGCACGGGCAGGTGGGCACGGAAACGGGGGGTGGGCACGGAAACGGGGGGCACCGGGGCAGGGGGTGGGCACTGGGGCAGGGGGGCACCAGCCCCACACCAGTTCCCAGTTCCAATTCCCAATTCCCCAGTTCAAAGTTCCTGTTCCCATTCCCAGTTCCAGTTCCCAATTCCCAGTTCCCAGCTCCAGTTTCCATTTCCCAGTTCCAATTCCCAATTCCCAGTTCCCAGTTCCAGTTCCCAGTTCCCAGTTCCAATTCCCAATTCCCAGCTCCAGTTTCCAGTTCCCAGTTCCAATTCCCAGTTCCCAGTTCCAATTCCCAATTCCCAGCTCCAGTTTCCAGTTCCCAGTCCCAGTTCCCAGTTCCAGTTCCCAGCTCCAGTTTCCAGTTCCCAATTCCCAGTTCCAGTTCCCAGTTTCCAGTTCCCAATTCTCAGTTCCCAGTTCCCAGTTCCAGTTCCCAATTCCCAGTTCCAGTTCCAGTTCCCAGTTCCCAGTTCCCAATTCCCAACTCCAGTTCCCAGTTCCAGTTCCCAATTCCTAATTCCCAATTCCCAATTCCCAATTCCCAATTCCCAGTTCCCAGTTCCCAATTCCCAATTCCCAGTTCCCAATTCCCAACTCCAGTTCCCAGTTCCAGTTCCCAGTTCCCAGATCCAGTTCCCAATTCCCAGTTCCCAATTCCCAGTTCCCAATCCCCAGTTCCCAATTCCCAATTCCCACTCTCCAATCCTCAGTTCCCCAATCCCCCCTTTTTCCCCCATTTCCCCTGTTGTTTTCCCCGGATTTTCCCCCATTTCCCCAGGATTTTTTCCCCACTTTCTCCGTTTTTCCCAATTTCCCCGTTTTTCCGCCCGTTTTCCGCAGCCGCCACGCCCACGGCGCCTCCCGAGGAGAGCCCCGGGGAGCCCCAATACAGCGACATCGTCTGCAGGAGCCCCCCCGAGGGCAACGACCAGGTCCCCCCCCCAAAAACTGCGGGGGGACCCCAAAAACTGC